ATATTGCCAGGCCTTTCTTCCTACTTTTCAGTCTGAAAGTTTTGCTGAAACCTATTCAGCATCATGATAATATGCAAATCTTCACTGAAAGATGAATGGTAGCTGAGCATAAATTGCATTAGCTGGGAATTGAACCGTGGTCTTCTGCATAAAAGATGAGAATTCTACCGCTGAATCACCTGTCATTGAGACTACAAAAAGGAATTCATCTGAAGAATCACCCTGAGTTAAAAGTTAGGGGGTGCAGAACAGGTCCAAAAGAAGACATCTGCCTATGTTGGAGCAAAGAAGTCGGGGCAAAGTTGCAGAATCATGTACAAGATGGGAAACACAGTATGACCACTTCATAAACAACCTGGGGGCAGGAAGGCCAGTGGGTGGGCACATAGAACACAAACCCCAGATAAAAGTTCCAGTATGAAATGGATCATATCCCTCCAAAAAGGGCATTCCTCAGAGCTCTTCGAACTAATTTTCAAGTCTAAGAACCAAGTGAAATGCTGTGTGGTTGTTGTTAAATGTCATTGAGTTAGTTCTGACTCATAGTGACCCTTATATAGGGGTTAGCGACTCTGTAGAGGGTTTACAAGGAGCGGCTGGTGAGTTTGAACTGCTGACCTTGCAGTTCAAACTGACCTCGCAGTCCAGGGCACTTAACTCACAGTGCCACACCAGGACTCCTGAGTAAAATGTACTTGGATATGATAAAACAGAATGGCATGCAAAGGAGGGCTGCAGAGCTAAGGAGACAGGATAATTCACCATCCTAAAGAGTTGCTAAGTGCTGTCAAGTTCCAAGCCCGTAGCAACCTTGTATGGGTTTTCTGAGGCTTTTTTAAAGCTTTGTGAGAACAGAAAGTCTCCTCTTTCTCCTGCAGAGTAGATGGTAGGCTCAAACTGCCAACCTTGTGGTTTGTAGTCCAGTGCTTATCCTATGGATCCACTGCACTAGAATATATTAAAAGCAGCTGGAAAGTGGCTGAGGTCTGACCCCAGAGCCCTAAGTCCACTCAGTAGACCAGTGGTTCTCAAAGTTCTGGACCAGCAGCACGTGCTTCACTTGATAACTCAGTATCCATTGCCATCAGGTCAATTCCAACTCAAGGTGACCCCATGTGTCAGAGTAGAACTGCTCCATATGGTTTTCTTGACCGTAATCTTTATGGAAAGGAGTCTTGGTGGTGCAGTGGCTAAGTACTCACTGCTAGCTGCAAAGTCAGTGGTTCGAATCCACCAGTCACTCTGCAGGAGAAAGAAAGGTGTGACAGTCTGCTTCTGTAAAGATGATAGCCATGGAGGAAGACCTGGAATGTGTGCTTAATTGCCTCCATCAACAAGTGCCTCCTTTGTCACGAGATCAAAAGAATTGGATGGTACCTAGTTACCATTCCTGAACATTTTGATCAAAGATTCCATAGAAGAATCCTGATCAAAAGGGGGAAGAAATGTAGAACAGAAGGCCAAATATTCATGGACTCAAGACTTCCTGGAGCCATGAAGGTTGGATGAACCCTTGAAACTAACTATTGTCCTGAGATAACATTTAAACCTTAAACCAAAACTGTCCACTGAAGTCTTCATAAAACCAAAC